CTACACCTGCGCGCTCACCCGCGAGGCACGCCGGGAAGTGGAGTCCCCCTCCCTCGGGCCGCCGGGCGCGCGCGGAGCGCGACAGCCGGGAGGGAGGGGGCCGAACGCCCAGGTGCCTTGGTGCTTGCGACCTCCTGGGAGGCCGCTGCAGACCCTCGCTCGGACGAGCACCCGGGACGGCTGTGCGCGGGGAGGCGGGCAGGACTGGGCTGCCCCGCCGTGGCCCGTTTGGGGTCTTTTTTTGTGACGTCCCGGGCGCGGGGCGGGGCCGGAGCGGGGAATTGGGAGCAGGGGCGGGGAATTGAGAACTGGGCCGGGCCAGGGCGGGGTCCCTGCGTGTCGGCAAGTCCAGGTGGTGACCCTGCTGTCCTGATCCTGTTTCCCCAGGGTGAGGGGGAGTGGCGAATTCCTTTCCTGGGTCGCTGGGGGCTATCAGAAAGGTAGCCGAGTGGATGGTGAGGTGGGGGGCAGGTGAGAGCCTGCGCTGGAGCCCACGCACCCTGTTTTCGGCTGGCCGAGCCTGTTTCCTCCCATCTGTGGGGCTGAGGATAGGGCCCAGCCCCAGGCACATGTGAAGGCCCCACGACAGCCGTGTGGACGTGGGGGAGGGGAGGCCTGAGCGGAGCTTTGTCACCATTTGGATCCACCAAATAGAATCAGAAGAGATGGACAAAACGCTGCTCCGCAGAGAAACTGGGGAAGCAATCAGTTCACTTCTTGTTCAGCATTCATTTGGCACCCATCCTGGCTGAATCCCGAGAATGATCCCTGACCCTGGCTGGGCCCTAATCTCAGGCCGAACTTTGTCCCCACCCAAGTCCTGACCCCAGCTAGCCCTGACCCAGGGCTTCACCCTGACCTGCTTGAGCTCTGATCTGGCTGTGTCCTTGGGCCCAGGACACTTGGTCAGGAGAGTGAGGTGTGGTGCCCTGGTCTCCATCCCTCCACCTCCACAGGTGACCTGTTCTTGTGGCCCAGGCTTCCTGCTGCTTTGCCTGCGGCCTTTCTGGCAGGTGTCCTGGACAGCCAACACCTGCAACACCTCAGGCTGGACCCAGGTGACACCCTCCCTGAGATGCCCCAACACTTGTCCCCTTGCCTTGCCCCAGCTGATAGGTAAACCTGTCTGGGAAAAGGAAAATAAAATGTCAACCATGGGGAGGGACAGAGGAGTCAGAGCCCTGGCAGAGCAGCAGCTCAAATGGCTGCCCAGTGCTGGGCCTTGGCTTTCTCAACCATAAAGCTCTAGGCTTCATCTCTCAGGCCCTCTGCCCTGCACTGTGGGGACCTGGATCGGGCCCCCTCATCTGTCAAATGGGCTGTTACCCTTGCTAAGTGGTCCAGGTGTTCTGACCCTCATTGTCTCTCTATAAAACCAATGTCATAGTGTTGGCATGTGGCAGCACATCAATAAATAGTAATTAGATTAATCAAGACTTTTCCAGAGAGGTTTCCCAAAGTCTTTCCCTATGTACAGCACACATCCCTAGGAAGTACTGGGGGTAGGGAGTGCCGCAAATGTAAAAGCAGGTACTGGTTTATGCCCCATGCCCCAGGTGGTCCCACATGGGGCCTTGTCCCTCAGGAAATCCTGCTCAAGCTCTGAAACCTGAGGTAGTGGATGTCTAGGGTTTCTGCCTGCCTGTTTTCTGGCCACAGCACCTGATTTCCCTGAGGGTTTCCCCATCTGTCAAATGAGGGTAGTGACTTACCTTATAGGGCCATGGTGAGTCAAACAGGACATCACAGGTCTTGAACGTGTTAGCGTCATCACTGTCATTAGTATCTGCCGTTGACCTCTTCATCTGACAGCTGGGGAAACTGAGGCCCAGGGAGGAACTCCTTGGGTGGGGCATGTGTAGAGAGTAGGGCTGGGGACCAGGTTTCCGTTTTCCATAGCAATCGGCCATGCAGGTCCATAGCCCTGGGGCAGGGCCTTCTGGGTCTAGGGCACCTCACTGGATGCCCCATTGCTCTCTGCTCCCATAAAGCTGGGTCCAGGAGCACCCTGGCATTTCCAGGTGGCAAATCTGGCCTCTGGGTAGTGGTGGGTCTGCTGGGGTTGGTCAGCATGCAGCTGGGTGAACCATTTCTGTGGCACAGGGCTGGAGTGTGGGGAGCACACACACACATCAGTTCTGCCTCAGGCACAGACTTTTATTACTGCTGAGAGGGGCCTTTACAGGTGTGTGGGGGGGTGTCGACTTCCGGGACCTTTGGCCTCCCACTGAAGGGGATGGAGTATCATTCCAGATCTGAAGCTGGGTGAGGGCTTCCCACACCTCCTCCTGCATGCAGAAACTCCAATCCTGGTTGCAGACCCATGTTCTGCCCAGGGGCAGGTGAGCCAGGCCTCAAAGCATCCCCAGCTGTCTGGGTGGAGGAGGCAGGTGAGGTGTGAGGAGGGGCTCAGCCCACTGGCTTGACCTTAGCAATGAAGAGGGCAGCAGCCTTCTCTAGGAACTCCTCTCTGGTCATGGGGGAGCTGGGCCGCCGAGCCACCAGGGCACGGTCCATGGCCAGCGCCAGGCTGTCAGGCCCCAGGCGTGAGCCGGCCTCCAGGTAGTGGGTGGGAGCAGTGGCACCGCTGCTGGCCTGCAGGGCCCCCTCCAGGGTGTCCAGCACTGCCTGGCCCATGCGTCGGTCAGCAACAGCCAGGGTTGGGTCCTCCAGCAGCTGGTAGAGGGCACCAGCCCGTGCCACAAACTCCAGCAGCACGAAGCAGGTGAGCATGCCAGTGCGGAAGACATCCAGTGGTACAGCCTCGTGGTCCCGGCACTGGATCTTGCGCAGCAGGGGTGCCACTACCTCCTCGGGCGCTTCCCCATCTCGGCAGATGCGCTTGAGCAGCTCACTGTAGGTACGCCCATCCAGCCCCGGCTTCTTCTTACGCCCACTGGCGCTCAGGCACTCATAGGCAACACCAACATTGTTGTTGAAGGCTGTCCTGTAGGCGGACAGGGGTGTTGGGCCAGTCCAGCAGAGCCCTCCGCCCCCATGCCCACCATCCTAGCCCAGGTTCCTGTCCCCCTCGCTCTTCCTCCAACATGTCAGACCTGGTCCAGCCTCAGGGCCTTTGCTCAGGCTGTGACCTCCCCCTGGAATGCCCTTCCCTCAGCTCTTCTCATGGTTCCCTGAATCGCCTTTCTGGTGGGCCCTCCCCTCCCTAACCCTTTCCTCTAATTGTCTTCATAGCAGTTACTACCATCAGACTCACTGTTTTTATGAGTTTGTCTTTCCCACCTGAATGTCCAGGAGCCCACATCAGGGTTTATCTGTCAGTCACTGTGCAGCACCAGTGCCTGACACACAGCAGGTGCTTGATAAATGTCTGCTAAATCAGCAGATGGGCATCTGCCCCTGGGGACATTCCAACTGCCCTCCTGACAATGACATTTGCACCTATAGGGTGGTCACTCTTGACCAAATACTGTGCCTATTTATTTTCAATCCTCACCCAAGGATATTTTTTCCATTGCTTTTCAGAGAGTAACAGGATGTGAGAGAGACACATTGATTGGTTGCCTCCCACATGTGCCCCAACTAGTGCCGGGGATCGAGCCTGCAACCAAGGTACATGCTCTTGTCCAGAATCAAACCTGGGACCCTTCAGTCTGTGGCATGATGCTCTAACCACTGAGCCACACTGGCAAGGGCTTGCCTATTTAAAATGGGTTAACTCATTCCATTCCTCCGGAGTTCCACTGGCCAAGAGTTAGCGAACTACAGCCATGGGTCAAATCCAGCCCCACTGCCTGTTTTTGTAAATAAAGTTTTATTGGCACACAGTTCTGTCAATCCACTGACACGTTGCTTATGGCAGCTTTCTTGCTGCAATGGCAGAGTCCACAACAGAGACTGGCCTGCAAAGCTGGCATAACTTGTGACCTTTACAGAAGTCTGTCAACTCTGCTCCCAGCTGTAAGGTGGGGGACATGAGGTGGATGTGGTTCCTTGCCCCATGAGGAACCTGAGGTCCTACTATGTGCTCTGGCTGTGCTGTGAGCTTCACGAGCAAAGGAGGGGAGCACTGGTAATGTGTGGACTGCAGAGTGAGCCTGGGTGGCTAGTTTATCTGGTGTCTCATTCTCCTCATCAGATCAACAGCCCAGCACTCAGCCACAGCCCAGTGCTAGTGTGGCTGGTGGCCTGTTACTAGTTCCACAGTCCCAACTGGGAAGTGAGGTTTGGGGCAGGCTGACAGTCGGGCTAAAGATCCCAGGGAAGAAGGGGCTGAACCTAGGCCTTAATATTCATCCTTTTTGGGAGCTCAGCTCCATGGTTCACATTGCAGTTCCACTTTTGTTTTTTAAATTCTCACCCAAGGATGTTTTAAACTGATAAGAACAGATACTACACTTGATCTTAGCCAAAAGACAGAAGTGATTCCAAGGATATGTTTAGAGAGAGAAAGGGAGGGAGAGAAACATCAATGAGAAAAACATTGGTTGCCTCCTGTATGTGTTCTGATCAGGGATCAAACCTGCAACCTAGGTATGTGTCCTTACTGGGAACTGAACCTGAAGCCTTTTGGTGTATGGGACAACACTGCAATCAACTGAGCCACCAGGCCATGGCTGCAGCTTCACTCTTATTTTATGTGTGACCTGGGCAGGTCACCTCACCTTTCTGTGGGTTAGTGCACAGTGGGTGCCCAGTAAATGCTGGTCAGCACATAGGTGTCCAGTAAACTTGGACACTCTGGTCACCTCTACTGTACAGCATGAGGCTTATAGATTGTTTTGACTTAGTGAGCTATGTGGGTCAAAGCCCTGTTACAGAGGAAACAGGGGCAGAGGCAAGAGGGCAGTAGTCTGGAGGTCGGTTTGCATCCATCTGGCTATCAGCTTCTCTGTCTTCCCATTTATTGGGTTCTTTGCAGTGAGTAAGACCATCCAGGGAAGCAGAGGTTGGTGCCAGATGCAGCCTCATGTTAACATACATTAGTTTCCATGATTATGACTGTTATCACATAATAACCCCTTTGTAGGAGCTTTTATAAACTTTCACCAGAAGAAGGAGGTTGGGGAGCCTGGTGTAACTGATGGCCGTGAGTCCCTGTATCAGTTACCCATTGCTGCATAACAACTTAACCCCCCAACTTAGTGACCTATAATGGCAACAACAGTTATTATATCGAGGTTTCTGTATGGCAGGAACTCGAGAGAGGCTTAGCTGGAAGATTCTGGCCCATTTTCTTGTAAGGTTGAGATCAGGATGTTGGCTGTGGCCATGGTCCTCTGAAGGCTCGAGGGTGGAGGTGTCTCACATGCTGGTTCAGACAGGGCCTGGCCCTGGGTGTCCCATGGGATGACTTGAGCACCCCCACATATGGTGGCTATTCCCCCAGTGTGCTGCTCTCAAAAGAAGTCGCTGTTACGTCCATGACAACTAGTGTTGACACAGGCTGGCCCTGTGGACATGGGAGACAAGTGCTTGCGGGTGAGAATACCAAGAGGTGAGTTCTCCAGGTACATCTCGAAGGCTGGTCACCACTGTGCTGTCCAACTCTCTCCACCCCGTGACTGAGCCCTATGACTTGCTTCGGCCACTGAAATGTGAATGTGAGCAATGCAAGGGCCACGTTTGTTGGAAAATTTCAGAGCCATCACACCATTTTCCACAGTCCACTCCCCACTGCCATGATGTGTAGCAGCCCCATGGTGTGAGACACAAACTTTAGTTGTGTTACGGCCACTAAGGTTTTAGGGGTATTTGTTCACTTGGTGGGACACAGCTCACCCGGACTGGTACATAAGTGGCCCATCATCCATCCAACTCTGGGCCCCAAAGCCTCTCTCCCAGGAACTTGGTTGACCTACCAGGTCATCTAGGTGCTTGTTGGTTCCCCAGATGTTCAATGAGAACCTTCTATGTGCATGCCTGTGGTACTGGCCCCAGCTCAGACCTGCACTCAAGTCCTAGTCATTTCCTCTCACTTTCCTCATCTGGAGAACGAGGGTTGTAATCTCTGAGACTCAGGAGTCTTGTGAGGACAGAGGGTAGGTTTTATGCCAAGTGCTCAAGATTGTACCAGCATGTGGGAGGGGCCCCATGCGTCCTTGTCATTTGCTATATCCTGGGCTGCGATTCAGCTGGGCTGTCCAGAAGCTGTTTATCTTAGACTCCTGGCCTCATGGGGCAGGAAGGCACGAAAAGGGGTAATTACAGCCCAGCTAGTGAGATCAGAGCTATGACGAAGATTGGGCAAGAAGCCCAGAGGAAGGCAACAACCAACCTCTAGGCTGAGGCCTCATAACTGCCCCTCCAGGGGGCTCCCCAGGTGGTTCCCAGTCATTGGGGGGAGCAAGAAGGCAACCCACTCTAGACTTGGCGGCCTGGGTTCCATCTTGGCTCCACCATTGGACTCTGGGCCTCAGTTTCCCTGTCTGTAAATTGGGACTGAGCACTTACTGAGGGCTCCATTCCTGTCAGCAGTTTGTGAAACATGTGAGCATTTGTTAAAATAAACAAAAAAGAATATATTTATGGGATGTCTCCAGAAAGAAACACAGAGACTTTTCACTTTGGACCAGGGGTTCTCAATGGGGGTGAGTCTGCCCCCAGGGCACAATGAATAATATCTAGGGACATTTGTAGTTGTCACACTGAGGGTCCTCCAGTCATTGAGGGTGTGGGGGCCAGGGATAATGCTCAGCACCCCACAGTGCCCAGGACTGCCCTCCAGAGGTGATGTGAGCTGAGGAGCTTTGGCCTAGACCTGTTGGTACCTTTTGCATGTCTTCCAAGGTGACAGGGACCTGTGGGGACAGCACTCTTGCTGTTACTATTAGCAACATGGTGGCTTACAAGGAGGCCTTAGAGCCACACTGCCCAGGTCTGACTCTGGCTGTGTCCCTTCATGGCCATGCAGCCCTCACAAGTCCAGATGACACCCAGGGTCTTGAGGCCAGCAGGTAGGCAATGGGATGCAGCTGCAGCCATTACCACTCCTGCAGGCCAGCAATTCTGACTTCTCCCTAAATCTTCTGTGATAACATGCTCAAGAACAGCCCCATGATAGCCTGGTCAACCTTGCAGCATCAGGTGAAGCTGCCCAACCTTGGAACACCAGTCTCCCACACCTGGGACTTGCCTAGCCAGGCTTCCACTACTGACCTGTCAGGCATGGTTAAGGGCCTCCTGTGTCTACCACTTACTCTGTCTCTGGGGAGACACATCTGTAACCACCATCTGCCATGCCCCCTGCTCACTGCTCTCCTCTGTGCCCCTGCTGCTCCCAACTGCCTACAGCAACAGCCCCAATACCCCTACACTGAAGTGACTTGTGTCCGCACAAAATGCACATCCATCTGGAACCTATGAGTGTGGCCTTACTTGGAAATAGGATCTTTGATATGTAATTAATTCAGGATAGAATGAGGTGGTTCGAAATCCAACGCCAAATGTTCTTAGAAGAGAGGAGAGAGACACAGAGAAGGTGGCTGTATGATGACAAGGCAGAGGCTGAAGTGACGCTTCCACAAGCCCAGGGATGTCCAGGAGTTAGGAGAGGCAGGAAAGACCCTCCCCTAGAACCTCCAGAGGGAGCTCAGCCCTGCAACACCTTGATTTCAGACTTCTGTCTTCCAGAACTATAGGAGAATATATTTCTGTTGTTTTGAGTCACCAAGTTCGTGGTAATTTGTTACAGCAGCCACAGGGAACTAATACATTTTCCTGTTGACCCTAAATCTGACAGACACTTCTCAGCCCTCATTTACTGGGCCATTGGACACAGGGCTACTGCTAGCGCACAAGGTGCCTTTGTGTGAATCAGGAAAAATTCTGCAAAAAGCCTTTATATAAATATCCTCATCTGTGATGTTTACGGAGCAAGTGGTAGTGCACTGCTTGATCTGAACAACTTGTACATGGTGGCCCTGCCACTGACCGCTTTTCCTCCTTGGAAGATGTTCTGGGATGCCACTCTCTTCTGGTTCCCTCCTTCACGTCTGGTCTGCCTTCACATGCTTTTTTGTGGGTTCTCTGAGGCCAGGGCTCTTCTCAGCTCTTCTGAGGCCTTCACAACCCATTCCAGTTGACAAACTCCTGTCCCAGTCGCACATCTCAGTTGCAGACCTGTTTGTCCACTTTCCTGCTGCAAGGTTCTCCCAGCTCCCTGACTTAAAAGTGCCCAAGTGACTCTGGGAACTTCCCTCAAACCAGTGATCTTCCATCTCAGTAGACAGCTCATGGACACTTGGGACTGTCCTGAACACTGCCCTTCCACCCTGGCCCTAGCAAATCCATCAGCTCAGGCTTCACAGCATGGCCTGAGCCCACGTATGTCCACTAACCTGCTCCTCTTCCCAGGTCCCCATCTCAGGGGTGGCCCCACCATCCAGATACCCTGCTGCTCCCCTATCTAGCTGTCATCTTGGACAGCCCACATTCCCCTTCCTCCTGTGGTGATGTGGCTGCTCTACTCAGATGCCTGCCCTCCACACCATTCCCACAGCTGAGTTCCCTCCCCAACGTCTCTGTGCTTTCCTTCTTGAGGCATGCACCTGTGACTCTCTATGAAGGTCTGCCCAGAAGCAGCTGGGAATACCCTGGGAATCAGGCTGAAACGCTCCCTTGGTTGGCTTCCTCCCCTTCCTGGGGTCTCCTGAGAGCACCCCCTTAAAAATCACCCCCACATGAATGCTTGCCTCTGGCTCTGCTTCTGTACACCCCTAGCCAAGACCCAGCCCACTGACATCAGTTGATGATGCTTCCCCCCAATCCACCTGACACAGACCATGCATTCAACACATATTCCTCAACCACCTTACATGGGCTCAAAACTGGGGGGAAGGGGTGGCGCGTGGGCAGTGGGCAGGCGCCATCCCCTTCACCCCACCATGCTTCAGCTGTGAGAAGGCTATGGGTCCTACACTGCACCTGTACAGCCTCCAGGCAGGTGCATCTGAGGCACCACCTTTCTCGGTGAGTCACGCGGACTTTTCCTGGACACCCCACCTGCACTCTGGGAGCCTCCCTCTAGGACAGGGGCCTTGGGTGACTAGGTTGCTTTATGTCTCCACAGCCCAGCTCTATATTCATTTTCTGGCTCAACGGACAAAACTGCTATGTTCCTAATGAGCTAGCCTGGCTCAGAGGACTTGTTCTGCGACCTTAGGCAAAGTCCTCTCTGGCCCTCATGATTTTAAAAAAGTTCGGTGGGCTGCAAGGGGGAACTCATTACCTACAAAAGGAGTCACAAAAGACGACGCCGGCGCAAAGCACGCAGGCCACGCCTGGCTACGCTCGGGACCTCCAGCCCATCGCGGTCTGGGTCCGTCCTGAGCCAGAGAGGAACTGCGGACAACAGTTCCCAGCATGCTACGCACTCAAGCGCCGGGACCTGGGGCGAAGAACCGCGCGGAGCACGCTGGGAATTGAAGTCCGGTTGGGGCCCCTACCCGCCCAGTCCCGGCCCAGTCCCGCACCTCTGAGAGTGGTGAGCCAGGCGAAGGTGCCACAGCGCGCGGCCCAGGCGCTGCTGCTGCAGCAGGAGCTGGCCCGGGGGATCCCCGGCGCCGCCGTTTGCAGGACTACTCAGGCCCATGTTCTCGAAGTAGTGCGCCAGGAAGGAGATGGGCTCCTCGGGCCGTGCCTCCAGCACCTTCAACAGGGCCGCACGCAGCATCTTTGTCACGCCGACCTGCCGCAGGAAGTCCTCCTCGCTCTCGGCCGTTGCCGCCGCCCGGGACACTGACGGCCGGCTGCTGTCTGTGAAACTAGCCGCCGGGGCTATGGCCTGCCGCCGCTTCTCCACTGCCGCCATCTTCGCTGAGGGCGGCGGGACCGGAAGCACCGCCATATTCCACGGTGTGCTGGCGCCTCCTGGCGGCCATCTTGGTTAAGGGCAGAGGACGCCGCATACCTTTGGGAGACTTTGGGAAATAACTAGTGCAGGCCACCCTTTCCCTTAGGTTCTAATTGGCATTCTCCCTGCAGTTTCCTGTTTACGTGTACTGGTTGACTTTCTTGGCTTAGGTCCTGAACCTGAACTTTGCCAGACTCCAATATGGTTCCCAAGAAAGGGCTTGGTTTCTGGCATGATGCCGGATTGTTTGCCATATTGGTAGTGGGTGAGTCCTTCCTTAGCATGGTTCCCTAGCAACCGGTCTCGTGGGTTACTAGAGCTGCGGGGCCGCGCTTAAGAGGGGCTTGATCCACCAGGATTCAAGGACTGAGTGCAGCCCGTCCCATTTTTCTGATTTTCGGTTTTGAACCTTTGCGCTCAGCCTGGCCTTCAATCTAGCCCAGTCTTGGTCTAAGTTTATAGCTCGCCGCGTGGGGACGCCCCGTCCTAACCACCCCAGGCTGCGTTAGCGGTCTGCTCTGGGCCCCTAGACCCCTGTGCGTGCCGAGGAATCAGGAGACCACCCACGGTCCCCAGTTCCCCATCCCAGGCTGTCACCCTTCCTCACCACTTGCGGGATCTTTCTCACACTCTGCGCCCTCTGGCGCTCCCATCATTCCCATAGCTCCCCAGCGCCCACGGGCTCAAGCCCCTGGCATCTGCTGGTCTCATTTCTAGCCTCTGTTTTGGCTCTGTCCACTCCTTAGCTCCCTTAATAAGCCATCTCTCTTCTCTCTTCTGTGTCTTTCCTCACACTGCCCCACCATTCATTCTCCATTTCTTTTGACGACTGACTCCTAGTTATTCTTGAAGTTCCAGGGCCCCTGCGTTCAGGGAAAGGCACAGTATTTGTATCCTCTCCCCCCAGGCAGAGTGCGCGCCCCGTCTGTCCCCGGGAGTCGCCCAGGGCAGAGGAGACCTGCGTTCTTGAACCACAACAGAAACCATTGAGGGCAGACCGCATGCTCTTTATTCTCCAGTTGCAGGGCAGCTCCCCAGGGGTCCCACAGACGGGAAACCCAGCCAGCTGGGGAGCCTAGATGCTCTGGCCACCGGGTGAAGGACCCTCGGTCGGCCCTCATGCTGCCCAGAACCCTGCAGCCCTCCAGTCACGACTGAGTTGAAGGAAAGGCAGGCTACTTCAGAGGCGCTGGTGGGCCTGGTGGTCAGCCGGCAGGCTTGCAGCGTTTCCACAGGCGATAGGTGAGGAAGGTCAGGAGGAGCAGCCCTAGCACCAAGCTGGCCATCCACAGGGCTTCAGACATTGGTGGGGAGCCTGGAGAGAGAAGTATCAGGAGCCTGAACACCGCTTTGTAGGTTGTGGGGATACGCCCAGCAGAAACTGCCAGGGGCTTCCAAATTTACCAAGCTCCCTAAAACTTAACAAAGGACTTAATGACTTAGAACAGCGATTTTCAACTTTTTTCATCTCATGGCACACATAAACTAATTACTAAAAATCTGTGGCACACCAAAAAAATACGTTTTTTGCCGATCTGACAAAAAAATAGGTATAATTTTGATTCATTCACGTGGGACGGCTATTGTTGTGCTGGCTGTTGTCATTTTTTAATTGACAATATAAGGAAAAAGAGGTCAGTGCCCCTGACTAAATAGGTATTGCATGTTTTAAAAATTCTTGCAGCACCCCGGTTGAAAATCACTGGCTTAGAATGTCTTTTGAAACATATAAAAAGCACTGGAATATCCAAAGGACTTAGGAGTGAATGTTTTGAAAGGTATGTAGGACCTTATAGTCAGAAGTGGGCTGCCCAGGGAGGCAGCCACTCGCATGTCTATACTTGAAATGTGGCTTGTCTGGGTGGAGAAGTGCTTGCTGTCAGTGTAAAATACACATTGTAAGAACATAAAATATCTCATTCATACCTTTTTACAGATTACATGTTGGAGTGATATTTGAGATATATTGGGTTCAGTAAAATATATTAGCTAATTTTTACTTTTTTCTGAATGTGGCTACTAGAAAATTTGAAATGACCTAAGTGGTTGTATTCTATTCTTATTCTACAGGCTGTTGTAGTCTATAAAGTTCAGTTTCACTGCTGTGAAATCTATGTAGTCCCTGAAATTTATCGTTATCACCATGTCAGGCAACTGTAATCTTATGTGTCAAGGAAGCCCACTGGACAGTTGGGGAAACTGAGGCTGGACAGGGCACCTCCTTGTCTAAGGTCTTTATGCAAGACTTTCTCCCTCCTAGGCTCCCCCAGTGCCCTCCCCAGCCCGCCAAACTCACAGATTTCTGGGAGGAGGTACAGACTGGCCGTCTGGCCCCCTGGGTCCATTCGACACTGGAACCAGCCCTCTGGGTTGCATCCAGCCCACAGCACGCTCAGCCAAGCCTGGGCCCCGTCCTCCCACCTTTTGTAAGCTGCCAGATCATTGGGTGCCTGGATCCAATGCACAGCTATGCCAGGGCCACAGGCTGCTTCACACAGCAGCTCCAGACCCCCTGGTGCTGGCAACTGGTGAATCTCAGGGCTGCAGGGCCTGGTGGAGCTGTTCCCAGGCTTGGGGCCAGGACTTCTGGGGCTGTGGGTGGAGTCCTGCTCCAGGGTGGCCTCTGGGGAGGTTGTGACAGGGGGTTCCCGGGAGGTCAGGCTGTAAACTGGAAAAAAGGACAGCCATTTTTCTCCCTCCTGCCCCAGTCCCCTTTCTTGCCTCAGTCTCTCCATCTGGACTATGAGATTGAGCCAGAACTGCTCCAAGCCCCGCCTTTGGCCACTTGGGTGAATTGCAACATACACCAGTGGGTAGGAGTGGGGTTGGTCTGTTGTGGTCCTCCCTACCCTGAGGGAACTTCTGAATCTCTTTGTCTCGCTTTCCTCAACTATAAAGCAGGTGAGAGCCCATCACCTAGGCCCACGCATGTGCCCAGAGGGTAGGGTCCATGAGCACTGGATTTTATTATTATGGGACCAGGAAGTGGAGAGAGGGGAGGGTGTATCTAACACAAACTGAGCACCTACTGTGTGCCAGGGCCCATGTTAAATGTTATCATTTGGCACATATTTATTGTGTATCTGCTATGTGCTGGGCACCATAATAACAGTTTTTCATTCATTTATAGTCTGTCTATTTAACACCTATGCTCCAGGCACTGTTTTAGCCACTGGGAACACAACCATGAACAAGACAACACAGTCCTATCTTGGTGAAGCCAAGAGCAGGGGAGAAAGATAATGGGAAAAACAAAACAAAACATATAGGATGTCAGATGTTATTAAAAGGTGTCAAGAAACATTCAACAGGAGAAAAAGGGTGTGTGTGTGTGTAAAAATGTACATGTGTGAGGTGTAAGGGGAGGGCAGGGGAAGCCTCACTGGGAAAGTGACCTGAGGGAGGTGAGTGAGAAGAAATCTGGGGGAAGAGCATTCCCAGTGGAGGGCACAGTACATGCAAAGACCCTGAGGCTGGACCCTGTCTGTTGGTGGAACAGTGAGGTCTCTGTGGCTGGAGCAGGATGAGTGAGGGGGAGGAGAGGGAGGAAGTGAGGGCAGGGAGATGATGGGATAGGTCATACAGGGCCTTGGGGGCCCCAGGGAGGACTTAGCCTTTTATTTGGAGGGAGGTGGGAGCCGGGAAGGGCTGTCTGTGAGCAGAAGGGGCAGGGGCAGACTCAGGTGCTCACAGGCGCCCTCTGGTGGCTGCTACCAAGAGGACAGACTGTGGAAATGAGGGTAGGAGCCAAGGACTAAGTGGGAGGGCAGAGCTGGTACCAGAGCACAGGGCTCTGGCACAGGGTAGGTGCTCAGTAAATTTGTTGGATGGGTGGATAAACAAATGATTGACAAGTATCACTCTGACTGCCACCAGGGGCAGACTGAAGATGGAATGCAATTTTCCCACCTGCCTAGGTACTTGGACCCTCTAGATGGGGACCAGAACCAGGATTCTAGAAGAGCCGCTGAACCCCAATCATCAAAGCTCGTGGGAGCTGGGTGGCGTGACTTCGCCCACTTCCTGGGGGACACTAAGTCACAGGGAAGTCAGGACCCTGCAGACTCACCTGGAATGGGCTGTCGGTGGCTCAGCTCCAAGCCCGGCAGCTTCATGGTCGCCTGGCAGTGGAGGGTGGCTGGGGCAGGTGTCCCCAGGGGGGGTAACAACCAGCGCTCTGTCACTCGGAACAGCAGGTCCTCATCCTCCTGGGGCTCCTCCTCCTCATCCCGGCCCAGGACCTGCACCCCCTCCAGTTCCTGGTCCCCCAGGAGCAGGGACAAGGAGAAGGCATCAGGGTTGGCAGGCGTGATGTTGTGGGCCGTGCAAGCCAACTCTTGGTCCTGCCCGGCCACCAGGGCCACTGGGGAGACAGTCAGCTGGTTCGGGAAGGCTGTGTAGGGAGGGTTGGAGGGGGGTGGGCTGAGCCCAGAGCGTCAAGACTGGGCCCTGAGGAGGGGGATGAGGGTAGACCAAGCAGGGAGTGGGGACTGCTGGTGCACAGGGACAGGGAAGACCCAGCGGTCACACCCTGCGTGGCTAGAATGTAAAAAAGGTGCTGGAGAGAGGTCCAGAGCAGAAAGGGCAGGAGGGTCAGGTATGGGAGGGTGGACTGGGGGTGAGGGGGGTGAAGGCTGGGAGGCTTAGAGGGGGGATGTGGAGAAGACAAAGTGGATTGTAGAGCAGAAGCAGGCTTTGAGCTGGGGCAGGGTGGGCAATCCGGGAAGGCTCCCAGGCAGAGGTGGCACAGGAACAGAGATAAAGCAGGGCTGCTGGGTGGGCCTGGCTGTGCAAAGGTGGCTAGAAGAGGAGGGGCGGGGGCTCACCGAACACGAGGAGTCGCACTCTGTGATGGTACGTGTGGTTCCCGCAGGAGCCCACACATACACGGGTCCCCGCAGCAGACAAGGAGGCGTTGTGCACGGAGAGGACACTGCTGCCGGCACTCGACTGCACAGCACCCAGGCTAGTGTCCAGGCCTCGCCACTGCACCGAGGCGGCCCTGGGGCCCGTGCAAGCCAGGCGGCAGGTGAGCTGCCTCGACCCGCCCATGGCCACCGCCACCACCGGCCCGCGGGGCTCCACCTCCAGGGGCCCACCTGAGGGCAAACTGCGCTAAATACCGTCCTGTCCCCAACTCGGGCCCCCAGCCTCAGACCCCAGCCCTGAGCCCCCTCTCTGCCTGAGCCCTCAAACCTCTCAACCCTGTCTCCTCCAAGGCGGTCCCCTGTAGGATCCCCCAC